TCAGGAATAAAACCAGGACTAACCAGGACTAAACCAGATCTAAACCAGGTCTAAACCAAGACTAAAATCAGGAATAAAACCAGGACTAACCAGGTCTAAACCAGATCTAAGTCAGGACTAAACCAAGTCTAAACCAAGACTAAAATCCGATCTAAACCAGGACTAAAATTAGGACTAAAATCAGGACTAAAACCAGGACTAAACCAGGAATAAATCAGGACTAAAATCAAGAATAAACCAGGAGTAGAACCAGGACTAAACCAGGACTAGAACCAGGACTAAACCAGGTCTAAACTAGGACTAAAATAAGAATTAAAACCAGGACTAAACCAGGCTAAATCTAGGTCTAAACCAGGACTTAAACCAGGACTGAACCAGGACTAAACCAGTTCTAAACCAGGATTAAAACCAGGACTAAAACCAGGACTAAAATCAGGTCTAAACCAGATCTAAACCAGGTCTAAAACCAGGACTAAAATCAAGACTAAATCAGGACTAAAACCAGGACTAAACCAGGTCTAAACTAGGACTAAAATAAGAATTAAAACCAGGACTAAACCAGGCTAAATCTAGATCTGAACTACGTCTAAACCAGGACTAAAATCAGGACTAAACCAGGTCTAAACCAGATCTAAACCAGGACTAAATCAGTGGTGGGATGTTCAGAAACTTTCACGTTGCTCAATAAACAATTTGAACTGAACTAACCTTTCCTCGTTTAGTGATTTTATCAGTTTCAGAGTCTCAAAATCAGCTGAAAAATCATCTGAAATCAACCCGTTCCCTGGCATTTTCTTTTTTTTCTTTCTTTGACGGCACCTGACCCACATTCTGACACCTCTTTTCAGCTTTATCTCGGGAAAACTTCCTCTGCGAAACTTCAAATACAAACTCAGGAGAAAAAAAACAAAACCCTGGTCTGATCTCGGTGCGTAAATAACCTCGAGTATCCAGCTCCTGACTCTATCTCTCCTCCTATCTCCTCCTTTTGTCCGACTCGAGGTGTCCCTTTTCCTAAAGTGGCCGGCTCAATGAAAAGCGTGGAAAAGCGCGCAGCAGGTATAATCCCGCGCTATCGGGTAATCAAAGCGCTCGCACAGGGCGGAGGCGACGGGACGAGCAGATAAAAACACTTCAGAAGCTGCGGAGGCTCGTCGACCGAGACGCGACTTCTGATTTAATTCACAGAGTTTGTGTTGAAAGGTTAAAAATGACACGAAACGGACGATTGTGAGATTTAAGACAGGATTAAACCAGGATTAAACCAGGACTAAACCAGGACTAAACCAGGAATTAAACCAGGTCTAAATCAGGACTAAACCAGGACTAAATAAAAACCAGGACTAAACCAGGACTACACCGGGACTAAACCAGAATTAAACCAGGACTAAACCAGGACTAAATCAGGACTAAACCAGGTCAAAATCAGGACTAAACCAGGACTAAACCAGGACTAAATCAGGACTAAACCAGGACTAAACCAGGACTAAACCAGGACTAAACCAGGTCCAAACCAGGTCTACACCAGTACTACACCGGGACTAAATCAGGACTAAACCAGGACTAAACCAGGACTAAATCAGGACTAAACCAGGACTAAACCAGAATTAAACCAGGACTAAACCAGGTCTAAACCAGGTCTAAACCTGGTCCAATCCAGGACTAAACCAGGACTAAAACAAGACTAAACCAGGACTAAAACAGGTCTAAACCAGGACTAAAACAGGTCTAAACCAGGACTAAACTGGGTCTAAACCAGGTCTAAACCAGGACTAAAACCAGGACTAAACCAGGTCTAAACCTGGTCCAATCCAGGACTAAACCAGGACTAAAACAGGACTAAACCAGGACTAAAACAGGTCTAAACCAGGACTTTACCAGGTCTAAACCAGGTCTAAACCAGGACTAAAGCAGGACTAAAACCAGGACTAACTCAGGTCTAAACCTGGTCCAAACCAGGACTAAAACAGGACTAAACCAGGACTAAAACAGGTCTAAACCAAGTCTAAAACCAGGACTAAATCTGGTCTAAACCAGGACTAAACCAGGTCTAAACCAGGTCTAAACCAGGTCTAAACCAGGACTAAACCAGGTCTAAACCAGGTCTAAACCAGGACTAAACCAGGTCTAAACCAGGACTAAACAAAAAATAAAACCAGGACTAAATCAGGTCTAAACCAGGACTGCATCGTGCCGTTACTTAAAAAGTCAAAGTCTGACAAATCACTAAAGTAAAAAAGTATTTGGGATTATTTCTACTCAAGTAAAAGTAACTTAGAGTCTGAACTGTTGGGACATAACATCTGATTTCTAAATATGCACAAAAATGAGAAAAAAAATAAGTCAAAACTGAAGAAGCGCTGCAGGAAACACAAATGTTCAAATCATCTCAAACTGTCCACGTAAACCTTTTGTCACTTTGTCATTCTGCTCGTCCACGGCTCCTCCGCGACCCCAGTTACCAGAAACTTTATTCCACGCTGTTGCTCAAGAGCACAAAGGCACGTCCCTGCAGCTTTTCACTCTCACACGGCTTTAGCTCGGAGCTCACACCTCCACCTGCGACTACAACTCTGCTGCCCTCTGCTGACGTCGAAACAGAGGGGATTTTGTTAACTTTTTGCAACTTTCTACCATATTTCAATGCTCCTTCGTCAAAAACATGTCTCAGGAGGTTTTACGTTGTCGTCCGTGCATGTTTGAGCGATCTAGCGATCTCTTTCGGGCATTATTCGAGCTCTGTTTACAGTTAGGAGTAGGATTCTCAGCGCACAAGCCGACATCGCCCCTGCTCCTGCACAACTGCTCTTCATAAATGCACAAAAACCTGATACACTAAACCAGGTCTAAAACAGGACTTTAAACCAGGTCTAAACAGGATTTAACCAGGTCTACAAATCAGGACTAAACCAGGACTAAACCAGAACTAAAACCAGGTCTAAACCAGGACTAAACCAGAACTAAAACCAGGATTAAACCAGGACTAAACGAGAACTAAAACCAAGACTAAACCAGGACTAAAACCAGGATTTAAACCAGGTCTAAAACCAGGACTAAACCAGGTCTAAAACAGGATTTAACCAGGTCTAAACTAGGACTAAACCAAGACTAAACCAGGTCTAAAACAGGATTTAACCAGGTCTACAAATCAGGACTAAACCAGGACTAAAACAGGATTTAACCAGAACTAAAACCAGGATTAAACCAGGACTAAACAAGAACTAAAACCAAGACTAAACCAGGACTAAAACAGGATTTAACCAGGTCTACAAATTAGGACTAAACCAGGACTAAACCAGAACTAAAACCAGGTCTAAACCAGGACTAACCAGGACTAAACGAGAACTAAAACCAAGACTAAACCAGGACTAAACAGGACTAAACGAGAACTAAAACCAGGACTAAAACGAGAACTAAAACCAGGACTAAACCAAGTCTAAAATCAGGTCTAAACCAGGTCTAAACCAGCACTAAACCAGGAGTAAACCAGGACTAAACCAGGCCTAAATGAGAACTAAACCAGGACTAAACCAAGTCTAAAATCAGGTCTAAACCAGGTCTAAAACCAGGTCTAAACCAGGACTAAACCAGGACTAAAACCAGGATTAAACCAGGACTAAACCAGCACTAAACCAGGACTAAACGAGAACTAAACCAGGACTAAACCAAGTCTAAAATCAGGTCTAAACCAGGTCTAAACAAGAACTAAAACCAGGGCTAAACGAGAACTAAAACCAGGACTAAACGAGAACTAAAACCAGGACTAAACCAAGTCTAAAATCAGGTCTAAACCAGGTCTAAAACCAGGTCTAAACCAGGACTAAACCAGGACTAAACGAGAACTAAAACCAGGACTAAACCAGAACTAAAACCAAGTTTAAAAATCAGGTCTAAACCAGAACTAAACCAGGACTAAACCAGGACTAAAACCAGGATTAAACCAGGACTAAACCAGCACTAAACCAGGACTAAATGAGAACTAAACCAGGACTAAACCAAGTCTAAAATCAGGTCTAAACCAGGTCTAAACCAGGTCTAAAACCAGGACTAAACGAGAACTAAAACCAGGACTAAACCAAGTCTAAAATCAGGTCTAAAACCAGGACTAAACCAGGACTAAACGAGAACTAAAACCAGGAAAAAGTTCAAACTGATTGTGTTATTAGTTTCTTTTTTCAGACCAAGAGTTTGTTTTCATACCTGACAGTTTCGACTGCTCACTCGCGTCTTCCTCAGAGTCACGTGATGTTTCTGTGACGTGTCGCTCAGCTGATTTAAACAGGTTTTGGTCTGTCTTCCTACCGGCGGAGGCAGGACGACTTCCTCAGGACAGTAACCCCGGTGTGTGAGAGTAAAAAAGCTCAAACATCATCGGGACAGAGGAAAACAAACTCCGTCGCTGGATAAAAGAGGCAGTCGATGTTTTTTTTTACTGTCACACACCTGCGATACTGTCCTGAGGAAGTCGGACTGCAGGTGGCGCTGTCCTCTGGTAGGAAGACAGCGCCAAAACCTGTTTAAATCAGCTGAGCGACACGTCACAGAAACATCACGTGACTCTGAGGAAGACGCGAGTGAGCAGTCGAAACTGTCAGGTATGAAAACAAACTATTGATCTGAAAAAAGAACCTAATAACACAATCAGTTTGAACTTTTTCCTGGTTTTAGTTCTCGTTTAGTCCTGGTTTTAGTCCTGGTTTTAGACCTGATTTTAGACTTGGCTTAGTCCTGGTTTTAGTTCTCGTTTAGTCCTGGTTTAGACCTGGTTTTAGACCTGATTTTAGACTTGGTTTAGTCCTGGTTTTAGTTCTCGTTTAGTCCTGGTTTTAGTTCTCGTTTAGCCCTGGTTTTAGTTCTTGTTTAGACCTGGTTTAGACCTGATTTTAGACTTGGTTTAGTCCTGGTTTAGTCCTGGTTTAGTCCTGGTTTAATCCTGGTTTTAGTTCAGGTATGAAAACAAACTCTTGGTCTGAAAAAAGAACCTAACATAATTCCATAAACTTCCTCAGACAAAGAAGGCGCAGTACAACCTACAACTGCCTAATCTTTCGTTTTCTTTTTGGTCTTTTTTTACAGAACAGACCTCCTCCTCTCAGGACAAACCCAGCGGCAAACGTGGGCACAGCGTCTCCGAGATCCTGCGCCGAGACGACCCGCCCAAACACAGAGCGTCGCACCGGAGACTCCCGGAGGGTCCCTTGTCCCGACCGGACGCGGCGCTCTTCCCGTTGTGTCCCCGCGTCCTCTACCCCATCCAGCCCCTCACCCGGACGCCCCACTACCCCGCCGCCCTGCCCGTCTGCACGCCCCCGCCTCCCCCACCTCCTCCTCCTCCTCCCAAGAAACCCGCCCTGGCTCCCGCGCCGTTCCCGTACAACTCCATCCACGAGCACCTCCTCCCCGTCCGACAGTCTTACGTCATTCCGCACTACTCGCTCCTACCTCAGATTTACCCTTTGTACAACGAAAGATTGAAACCGAACCTAGCATTACCGCAAAACGTGCTTCCTTACGACAGCTACGCGCCGTTCTTGCATTCGCTGAGAAACAAGGAACTGTGCAAGCAATCCCACCCCAAAGACGGCAAACACCTCAAGTGCTACCTCAAGAGCGAAACGAGTAGTTCGCTGGCTTCTCCGGTTTCCAGTGCGCTGGCAGTGCCGTCGTTGACCGCGGGGGGCGCGGGGGCTGAACCGAGGCGGGGCGAGGAGGCGGAGGGGGAGCTGAGGAGGAGCAGAGCCCACATAGGAGGACAGGCGCTGGGCTACAAGACGCTGTCCTACCCCCTGACCCGGCAGAACGGGAAGATCCGCTACGAGTGCAACGTGTGTGGGAAGGTCTTCGGGCAGCTCTCCAACCTGAAGGTAAGACGTCAGACTTTAATTTAGACTTCAGAGACCTGCCCAAGACATGACCATACCAACTTTATTTATAAACCACTAAGTTTTCCAAGTGAAAAGTGTAACATAAAGTGCATTAGAATAGGTTTAGACCTTGTTTAGTCCTGGATTAGACCTGGTTTAGACCCACTTCAACCTGGATTGAAGCAAGACAATCTAAAAAAAAACCTAAACAAACATTTAACACTCACACTCTCCTCGGGGTCACATAGACCCAAAGACATTTTATTCCCCTTCCTGCTCTCTTGGGTTGGGTCAATCAGAACCAAAAATTTATTTTCTCACCTGGCGAGAATTTATTATGAAAATACATTTTTGGGAGAGCGTGAGGTTAATGTGGTCTAAGACAATGGCCCAAAACTTGGACTAAACCAGTACTGAACCAGGACTAAACCAGGTCTAAAAAGGACTGTGTGAGAAACTAAGAAAGGACTCACAACTAAACTGGACTAAATCATAACTAAACCAGGATTACAGCAGGTCCTAACAAGTATGACTGTCGCAATAACTGCAAAAATTAATCACCACGGTACTAAGAGGGCCACTGCGGTGCATGTTGGGCCACCGCGATCACCGCACGTGACCAACATGACCCGACCCAGAGTCCTGCATGGGTCCATTTTTAGAGACCTGCACTCGCCCGGACCCGTAAACATTTCACCTGTTACTGCCCGTGATAACCCAGGACTAACCCAGGACTAACCCAGGACTAACCCAGGACTAACCCAGGACTAACCCAGGACTAAGGTGTGCCCGTAGACTGTTTGGTGACCCCAGGGGATTTAAGTGTGGCTATTGCCCAATCGCGCTTTGCGGACACCTGCTCCTTGTGCTCGTGATAGGGGCTCTTTAAGTCCGCGGGTACCTGACCTCCTGCAGGACTCTGACCCGACCTGGCGCAGGACTCTGACCCGACCTGGCGCAGGACTCTGACCCGACCTGGTGCAGGACTCTGACCCGACCTGGCGCAGGACTCTGACCCGACCTGGCGCAGGACTCTGACCCGAGCTGGCGCAGGACTCTGACCCGACCTGGCGCAGGACTCTGACCCGAGTTGGCGCAGGACTCTGACCCGACCTGGCGCAGGACTCTGACCCGACCTGGCGCAGGACTCTGACCCGAGCTGGCGCAGGACTCTGACCCGACCTGACCGACGCAGGACTCTGACCCGACCTGGCGCAGGACTCTGACCTGGCGCAGGACTCTGACCGACCTGGCGCAGGACTCTGACCCGACCTGGCGCACTCTGGACTCTGACCCGACCGCAGGACTCTGACCCGACCTGGCGCAGGACTCTGACCCGACCTGGCGCAGGACTCTGACCCGACCTCCTGACCCGACTCTGACCCGACCTGGCGCAGGACTCTGACCCGACCTGGCGCAGGACTCTGACCCGACCGGACTCTGACCCGCGCAGGACTCTGACCGACCTGGCGCAGGACTCTGACCCGACCTGAGGACTCTGACCCGACCTGGCGCAGGACTCTGACCCGACCTGGCGCAGGACTCTGACCCGACCTGGCGCAGGACTGACTGACTCTGACCCGACCTGGCGCGGGACTCTGACCCGACGCAGGACTCTGACCCGACCTGGCGCAGGACTCTGACCCGAGTTGGCGCGGGACTCTGACCCGACCTGGCGCAGGACTCTGACCCGACCTGGCGCAGGACTCTGACCCGACCTGGCGCAGGACTCTGACCCGAGCTCTGACCCGCGCAGGACTCTGACCCGACCTGGCGCAGGACTCTGACCCGACCTGGCGCAGGACTCTGACCCGACCTGCGCAGGACTCTGACCGAGACTCTGACCCGAGTGGCGCAGGACTCTGACCCGACCTGGCGCAGGACTCTGAGCCGACCTGGCGCAGGACTCTGACCCGACCTCCTGCAGGACTCTGACCCGACCTGGCGCAGGACTCTGACCCGACCTGGCGCAGGACTCTGACCGACGGCGCAGGACTCTGACCCGACCTGCAGGACTCTGACCCGACTCTGACCCGCCTGGCGCAGGACTCTGACCCGACCTGGCGCAGGACTCTGACCCGACACTCTGACCCGACAGGACTCTGACCCGACCTGTCTGACCCGAGCTTCTGACCCGACCTGCGCAGGACTCTGACCCGACCTGGCGCAGGACTCTGACCCGACCTCCTGCAGGACTCTGACCCGACCTGGCGCAGGACTCTGACCCGACCTGGCGCAGGACTCTGACCCGAGCTGCCACAGTGAGAGCTGGAGAGATGCAGCGGCACTTGTTCCAAAGCCAAATGTTACTTCTCTCCCGTTACACACACAATATCCACACCACAACCAAGGTACATGTGCATCTGCAACAACAAGACAAGGCAAGTTTATCTGTACAGCACAATTCGTACACAAAGTAATTCAAAGTGCTTTACAGAATAAGAAATACATTAAAATCATAATCAAAACATATGAAAATATAAATAATCATGAAGATTAAAATTAAAAAAGAGAGACATAAATTGGAGAGAAGAGTGCGGAATGAAAACCTTTCAGTTATATGCACAGTGCAACAACAAGCGCATCATCGGAGAGTTTTCAGAGCCGCTGGAAATATTATAACTCCACGGCAGGACGGGTGCAGGAGGGGGGAGCGATACCATCACATACCTCGCTGTTGAGCTGCTCTACCGCACCGCAGGAGAAATTCCCTAACCACGACAGCCCTAATCACAAAACACATCACCAACACCGCCTTCTGCCACCTCCAGAACATCGCTCGCCTCTGCCCACAGTCTGCTCAAACCCACAGCCACGCTTCTGTCACCTCCAGCCTCCGCCTCCTCCACCTCCTCCTTTAAAATCGACTCTAAAACCGGGAGCCAATAGAGAGAGGCTAGAATATTTGAGACGCTCTTGTGTTTCCGGGTTCCAGTTAAAAGTCGAGTCGCTGAGTTTTGAATTTGCTGCGAACGGCGAAGTGCGTTTTGGCTGACGCCGACATAAAGCGCATTGCAATAATCCGGTGCGGTGGTCACAGATGCTTGCGTGACACAGAAAAGCTTCGCACACTCGATAAGGTCTAAGTATAAGTCTGATAAGATCTGAAGATGAATCAAAGGCAGCGAGCTTTGGTTTCAGTGACTCGTGCTCAAACCAATACTGGCCTAGCTCCGTTCAATCTCCAACATCTCGTATGAGTGTTCGTATTTGTTCTGTCCTCTTCTGTCTTCCTCTTTGATCATAATCGAGCTCAACATCAACAACGGCTGCCCACCCCAAGCGTCCAAAAGTCAATTTCTTATTCAATTTTCCAATAGACTTTCTGTAAAAATTTTAAAAAGTATAGTTAGAGCCACAGACCGGTTTTATGTCTGACAATATTTTGCGGACTGGGAGCTGCAGCGTTTAGTCCTGGTTTAGTTCTGGTTAAATCCTGTTTTAGTCCTGGTTTAGACCCGGATTAGACATGGTTTAGTCCTGGTTTAGACCTGGTTTAGACCCGGTTAAGACCTGGTTTAAGACCTGGTTTTAGTTCTGGTTTTAGTCATGGTTTAGACTTGGTTTAGTCCTGGTTTTAGTTCTGCTTTAGACCTGGTTTAGTCCTGGTTTATACCTGAGTTTAGACCTGGATTTAGTTCTGGTTTTAGTCTTGGTTTAGACCTGGTTTTAGTTCTGTTTTTTTAGTCTTGGTTTAGACCTGGTTTTAGTTCTGGTTTTAGTCTTGGTTTAGACTTGGTTTAGTCCTGGTTTTGACCTGCTTTTAGTCCTGGTTTAGACCTAGTTTTAGTCCTGGTTTAGACCTAGTTTAGTCCTGCTTTAGTTCTGGTTTATGCTACATGACTAATGAGCACAAGACCTATAATTTTATTTTAAGTCTCTGAAAAGTTATGAAAGCAGTGAAAGCATTTTGCCAAATCTTGCATTTTAAATCTGCTTTTTGGCTTAAAACTACCACATTATGCCTTTGTACTCTTAAGTTTTTAGGAAAAATTAATAGAAATTTGTACTTTTGAAATGGGAGTGGGCTTTAAAGTGGGCAGGAGCGCCTGTTCTTGTATTTTTGTACTTCTTTTCTCCACAAACTGCCGCTATAATAAATATTTATCAAATGTACTATCTCACCAAACCAAGCGGTAATTAGAAAAACTTGAGAACTGTACCGATCAATACTTCCATGCAGATTAGTTGAGTGAGTGAGTGATTGGAGTGTTTGTGGTCGTGCTGTGTGCAGGTTCATCTCCGGGTGCACAGTGGAGAGAGACCGTTCACCTGTCAGACCTGCTCCAAGACGTTCACTCAGCTGGCCCACCTGCAGAAGCACTACCTGGTCCACACCGGAGAGAAGCCGCACCAGTGCAAGGTACTCACCCTGAACTGTCTCTGCTACAGCCGCATCAGAGCAAACGCAGCCGCAATAAACCTGGAATAATCTGCACCCACGCCGTAAAACACATGGGTTTCATATTTACACATACAGAGATCATTATTTTATCATTTGGATTTTAAATCACAGCATTCAAACTGATTTAGTCCTGGGTTCCACCTGGTGTAGACCTGGTTTAGTCCTGGTTTAAACTTGGTTTAGTCCTGGTTTAGACCTGGCTTAGACCTACTTTACTCCTGGATTAGACCTGATTTAGTCCTGGGTTAGACCTGAGTTAGACTTTAAGACCTAGTTTAAACCTAGTTTAGACCTGGGTTAGACCTGGTTTAGACCTGGGTTAGGCTTGGTTTAGAGCTGCGTCAGACCTTTGGACCAAATTTAGACCTGGTTTAGACCTGGTTTAAACCTTTAGACCTGGTTTAGCCCTGGCTTAGCCCTGGGTTAGACCTGGTTTAGACCTTTAGACCTTTAGACCTGGTTTAGTCCTGATTTAGACCTAGTTTAGACCTGGTTTAGACTTGTTTCTCCAGTGTAGATCTCGCTGCAGGCTTCACTACACTGAATGGAGTAAACCACATTGCTTTGTTGTGAAAAGAGATCTGAACTGTGTGAAGCGTGTTTGAGTGTCAAGAAAAGCGCTTTAACAAATGTTATGTATTAAATATTATTATTATTAAAACATAAAATTGTTTGTATTGTGTCCAGACTCACATTAAATCGTTCTGTTTGCTGTTGTTTTCGTCAGGTTTGTCACAAACGCTTCAGCAGCACCAGTAACCTGAAGACCCATCAGAGACTACACTCGGGCGAGCGGCCGTACCAGTGCAAACAGTGCCCCGCCCGCTTCACACAGTTTGTCCATCTCAAACTGCACCGGCGCCTGCACACGGGAGAGCGCCCCCACCAGTGCCCACGCTGCCACTGCGCCTACCTTCACTACTGCAGCCTCCAGCTACACCTACAGGTAATCAGCCACACAGACCAAAAAAGACCTCCAAACTTTCTTTCTGCTGCTCGATTATCGTTTTCAGCTGTAGATTTCATGACTTGCAGTTTGTAATCTGCAAAATCTGATTTTGTTTTCAGGTGCATTTGTGTTCAGTCTTCTCAGTCGTCTTTATAAGTTTGTTTAAATGTTAAATTGTTCAGTTGTACAGAAGTAATTACGGAAGCCGAGAGGGGTCACAACAAACGCAAACGCCGCAATGAATACAAATGCGACAACACAACAAAAAGCCACAACACACCAAAAAAAGCCACAATGGAAATGACCGCGGGACTCTATTTTCCGACAGACCGATCAAGCGGCAAGTGAAGAAGAAGAACTACAACGTGAAACGAATAATGATAAAACAATAAATTACTTTTACTTTACGTTTCCAACGTTCTCCGTTCCTTTACTTTTTCACGTTGTAGTTCTTCTTCTTCACTTGCTGCTTGATCGGTCCGTCGAAAGTTTTTTCAATTGTGGCTTTTTAGTGTGTTGTGGCATTTTGTTGTGTTGTCGCATTTGTATTTGTTGCGGCGTTTGCGTTTGTTGTGACCCCTCTCGGCTTCCGTAAGTAATGGTGCGATCGACTGACATGATACAGACAGGACAGAGGCTCTTTCTGCAGGAGACATGCGTAGTAGAGCCAAGTGACAGTGGTACAGGAGGAACAGGAGCAGCAGATACTCACACACAAGACTAGAACCTCTCCACACTTCACTCAAACATTTCAATATTTAAGGTGCACCGGAGAATAAGTCGCAGGAAACACCCAAACCATGAAAAAAAAATGCGACTTATAGTTCGAAAAATACAGTAAATGTAAAGGAAATATTGTTTAACTTTGGACTTGATTGTGTAGGTCATGTTTCTGGAATTTCAAATATTTAAAATACATAAGTTCCTTGAAGTAGTAAATACCGGAAAAGCATAACAGGTTCTTTAAACATCCCTTTGACGTGTCCCTCCAGGGTTTCTGTCCCATGTCCTCGGGCGTCTCCAACCCGGACGAGCTGCACCGCGTCAACTCGGAGATCGAGCGCTTCGACGTCAGCGAGGCGGCCGAGCAGCTGGAGGCCACGGCGTCCGACCTGCACCTGAGCAAAGCCGACGTGCAGCAGCTGATCAAGAGCATGGAGCAGAGCGACGTTTACAAGACGCCAAGAGGGGGCGACGGCGCGCAGCAGTGTGCGCTACCCCTGCACCCCAACAGCATCAAGCAAGAGTCCACCGCAGAGGCGTGAGAGACGAACGTGCAAAAACAAAAACAGGACTAAACCAAGACCAAAGCGAGATTTAACTGAACTGAACTGAAAAGAGACCAAAGCAGAACTAAACCCGAGCTGAACCAGGTCCTCGAAGCCTAAAATGAGCCTTAACAACAACAACAACTACTGTATGTTACTGAACTAAAACAAGACCAAAACGAAACACGGACTTAAAGAGTGGGCATTATGCAAAATCAAACTTTTTTTTTAGCTTTCCCGAGGCCTATTCGAACCCTTTTACCTTATTCTCCATAAATAAAAAAAAACAAAAAATGAAAACTGTTCAGAGCAACTTGACAAACCTGAAGCGACGTGCAGAAGTTTCATTAGTGGGACGCTTGCTGATTGTGTTGTGATTGCGCTCTGAAGGGGGAGTGACTTTGCGCGGGGAGCAAAGGGAGGGGAAACTCAGAGCGTCAAAAGTTAGAAGTTAAATACCCCGCTTTTTAACCAAGACCAAAGCCAGAGTTTCACCCACATCCTTGAAAAATGTTTAATGGGCTAAAACAAACTTAAGCAACAACTGCACCAAGACCAAAACTAAAACTTAACTGAAACTGAACCAGATCTTGAATTCTTTGTTGGAGCAAAATGATCCTGAACAATAACTGCACCAGAACTAAACCAAGACCAAAGATGGATTAAGCCTGGATTAGAAAACTACCAAATATGGACTTGAAGTAGGGTGACCAAACGTCCGTTTTTCCCCCAGACTTGTCCGTTTTTTTGCATCCTGTCCTGGGCGTTCGAGTATTTTTTTTTTAAATGATGGAAATGTCCGGGTTTTCATTTCCTTTCATTGATACCATTAAATTGAGCGTCTCTCGTAGCTCTCTGTGACTCAGAAGGAGCGGACAGACAAACGGTCGGTCGGTCTGCAACATGCCGAAGTGCAAATGCGCATTTAACATTGACTTGTACAAGAAATTCTCAGTTTTCTGCCCCCGGTCGGGACAAGTGGGAAGCCATGTGCACAAGTTGCAAGTTGAGAGTAGCTCAGTGTCGAGGCCCCACCCCCCACCCCCAGTAAGGTGTCCGAATTTTCACAAATGGAAATATGGTCACCCTACTTGAAGGCTAAAGGCCAAAGATGAATTTAACTCAAATTGAGCTAAAATTTGCTTTAAACCTTGATTAAACCAGGACACACTAGACCTGTCTGCACACGGCGGTTAGCATTACCATGATGGCAAATCTCTGGAATCTGAAAGTTGTGGAAAATGCTTCTAAAGTTGTTAAGTTTGATGTCACTTCTGGGTTCAAGGTGAATCAAATGATTGGAAAATAATGATCATGTTTACAATCTCCTTTTTTTTTAGCCCCAGCACATCTTATGTTAAAGGTTGTATAGAGGATTTTTTTAAGGGAAGTAAAATACAGTGACAGTCCTTTTTCAAATGTTGTGCATGCGTGACACCACCTCTTTACTCTAGAAATCACGGTTGTTTACATCCAGTGCACGTTCAGAATTACTGTTGAAGTGACCTGTCTATAATATATATCGAAATATTTTAGCACCAGTTTTTAGACCCTTCATCTTCGTCAGTCGCGCCATCGCTGAATCTCCAAGAATCACCGTATATCCACAGTTGACAGATTTTCATTGTTTGTTTTTTTTGGTCATTATAATTACAAGGCTGCTGCATCTTTCAATGACAATTTGAAACTAAAATTATCAGTGAAAGATGACAATTTCACTGACAATTTGAAACAAAAACAAAAATCCTCCATACAACCTTTAAAAAGCTACCATTTACCAGGGCTACTAGTTACCATTAACAAAGCGTAAGCGTAACAGAAAGTGTACAATATTTTAGCTAAGCTAGGCTAGGCTAGGCTAAACTAGCGTTAGCATTAGCATTATTACTGATTGGCTGTGAGATAAACACACTGGTAATCCAATGTTGTGAAAAATTATTACTATATTATTTACTTACTTAGATTTTTTTAATACAAACTGTGGTTGAGCATATGATTTTGAAAGGTCATTTTCTCTTGTCTGAAGAAAAATCAACATAAACAAAGCTAAACATTAGCTCTTTAGTAGCTGGTTCGACCCGGAAGTGACATCATTTCTTAACAACCCCATAAACTTGTGAATAATTTAGTTTAGTTAGGAGACTAGGAAGGCGTTGGGAAAATAAAGAAAACATTTGGACCTCTGAAAAATGTACGTTAAAGAGTAAATATCAGATAATGTGCCTTTAGCTAATGCTAAAAGCTAGATGCTAAAGTGGAGACAAGCACTGGAAACTTGATGGTAAAAAAAACACACAAAAAAACAATGAATGAAGCATTTATCAAAATCACCAAAGTAAGTTACAGAGGCCTTATATGTTTTTTATATCAAAACCACCAGAACATTATTATGGCATTATATTTTACACTTTATAATAACAACACCTTAATTATCCATAATAAAGCAAGAGCAAAGACTGAAAAAAATCATTTATTTCAGAATTCAGTTAAGTAATGAATGCCTTAATTACCACAAATGCTAATCAAGGTATTAATTAAGTAGTTACTAAGCCTGAATTGTCGTGTTCCTGCTTTATTAAAAAGGTGTAGGTGTGTAAGACTACGTTCAGACTGCAGCCTGAAGTGACCCAAATCTGATTTTTTGGCCCCTACATGACCTGTATCTGATCTGAATGACACAGATCCGATTTTTTCAAATGCGACCCAGGACACTTGAATATGTGCTCCTAAAACCGATACATATCTGATCTTTTGACATGCGACTTCATTGTGAACGGCCAAAGCGCATTGATCCGACCTACACGTTATCAACAAGCCACAAATGTACACAAACGTTCTTCTCGTCATATGAAAATTGTTAATGAACTCCATGTCACTGAAGCGAAGCACATCACTATCCCACCACTCTTGGCTACGTCTCCACATCCACACGTTCCTTTCAACGGACTGTCCCACAAAACGCCATGAACGCCAAAAACCTCGTCCTTCTCCTTCTCAATCTCCTTAAAACAAATAAGTTGTTCATGTTCTGGCTCCGGTACGAGAGGAACTTTAAAATCTCCAGGTGCTCAACACTGTTGGGCAAGTTACTTTAAAACTGTAATGCGTTATTTATTACTCATTACTCTCATTTCAAAGTAATTCGTTACATTACAATATTACTGCATTTAAAATGTAAAACATTACACGACTATTGCAGCACTTTTAAGTTACTCTCACCAAAATAACTGAGTAAAGATGCTGAACTTTTGTGCCGTATATAGACTGAACCGAGGACTAAACCAGGACTAAACCAGGACTGGAAACTAAACCGAGGACTGAACCGAGGACTGAACCAGGACTAAAACCAGGACTGAAACTGAGGACAGAACCGAGGACTGAACCAGGACTAAATCAGGACTGAACTGAGGACTGAACCGAGGACTGAACCGAGGACTGAACCAGGACTAAATCAGGACTGAACTGAGGACTGAGCCGAGGACTGAACCAGGACTAAACCAGAAATGAACCAGGACTAAACCAGAACTAAACCAGAAATGAACCAGAACTAAACCAGGTCTAAACCAGAATTGACCCAGGTCTAAACCAGAATTAAACCAGGACTAATCTTGGACTAGAACTTGGAAGCGCTTTGCAGACAGGGTTTCTGCAAAGCGCGATCGGGCGTCAGCTGCAGTTCGCCCCATGAAGCGTGGAGTTCTGCGCCGGTCCTTTGGCCCGTGGTTAACTGACGGTCTACGCGGGCGTGTCTTCGACGTTTCACCGCTGCTGTTACCGTGGTGATTTTAGCGAATTTGTATGAAGAAAAACCCACCACTTCAATCCAGGTTAAAAATGCACTGTAACGCGCATTACTGACACTTGTACTGAGTAAAATATTAATTTTTTTTTTCCTGTAATGCCTTAAATTACTGCGTTACAGCAAAAAGCAACACATTACAGTAATTCGTTACTTTTATAACACATTACTCCCAACACTGGTGCTCAGTGCTCGCGTCTATGTTTGGACAACTTCCGTAAACACTGTGGTTGACGTCGTCGTGTCTCCAGTGCACATGCGGGACACTTTTGGACCGTTTAATGTTCACACTGGAGATCACAAGCAAGTCGCATTTAATTGGAAATGTGAACGACCTCGCAAAAACATCGGATTTCACACAAAAAAAAAAAAAAAAAAATAAAAAAATCGGAATTGAGCGTTAAGCCCTGCAGTCTGAACGTAGCCTCAGTGTTCCTCTTTTAGGACTAAAATAAAACTCGACCAGGACTAAACCGGGACAAAATGACATTAATATTCTTAACCAAGGACCAAAAAAAAAAAGTGGCATTAACAGAACACACGTGCGCACACCACATGTTGAGAAGCGCTGGCCTCACCCTTAATCCTGCGTAATCCCGCGGCATCTGTCCGTGCGCCTGTACCTATCCCAGTCCGATGCCTTAAACCCCGGCGGCCTATTGTAGCGTGTACAGAAGCAGGACTTTTGACCCCAGCGCGGTCTGGGCACTGGATTTCTGCTGTATATCTTTTGTTCATGTTTTAATTTATTCTATTATTATGAATTTAAATCTAATCACTTTGTTTGTTTTGCTGTATGACTTTGATGCTGTGTTTTTATATCTGTGAGACTGTTCCATGAATAACTAAAGATACAAACCGTTTTGCACTGAGCTTTGGCAGTTTTTGTGTCGTTCTTGTGTCTTTTTTATCACTGATGAATTTGTCCCCGAGGAGCAGTAAAACACAACAATAATAGAGAAGCTCATAAAAGGCAGAGACATTATCCAGTGGCAGTGTGAGGAGAGTAACACCCGTCAGGACATAAGTGTGCCGCCTCTATGGAGAAAACGGGGTGGGATTAAATACATTTTCTTCTTCCCACTCCTTTTTGGGCCAGTTTTTTATTTATTTTTGTTGTTGTTGATTTCATTAGTGATATGCTCCACTGTAAAAGAATATAACATTTCTTACTTGCCCAAAAATAAACACATAAATCAGTATCACAGCAGCCTCCAGGGGGGGACCAGGTGAAGTCTGGACACACAACAGGAAAGCCTATCCTTGGTCTTTCTTTTTATTTCCATTGTTGTTTTAGTCGGTAATGAAACGGGTGATAAGAATTACTAGTCGGACCCAAATATGTCAAAAAAAAAAGGTATTTTATGAACAAAAATATTCTTGGAGGGGGGATAGGTTCCAGGGAGGTCCAGGTTGGCTGCAGACGGGAGGCATGTGGTGACGGAGACTAGTGATGTTACGAGATGCGCCGAGGCTTCGAAGCCCACGTCGAGTAATGAAGCGGGTGTTTCCGTGAAGCGCGTATCGAGGCTCGCTTCATTTGGGGGAGGAGCCAAAAATGATGACGTACGAAGCCTCGCTGCCACTGCTCTACCACGTGACTGCTTCAGGAAGTGGTTCGCGGATTTGGCGCGATTCGAAACATAAGGGCCAAAGAAAGGCAACGGATTCCCCCAAAACATTTTGTGGTTTTGGGTTATTGCAAGTTTGGTACATTCTTTTTTTTTTTTGCGATGGAGCAGCAAGCACGCCTTCTTCATCTGTGCGCTGTGAACGTTTTTTTATTTCAAAAGCAGAGGAAATTCTCTGTAAAAACAAAACCGTCTGAGTCCAAATACTGCAGAGAAATTGATATTTTTAAATAAAAATTAATAAATGTACCTTATTTTGCCGTCCTTATTGTGGCATAAGCACAGTCATATTACATCCAGATGTCAAATTTGTTCCTACTTTTTCTTTTAACCCGACCGTTATATCACGAACACAGACTCCAGGTTTATACATTCACACTTTATGTTGAAATCACAAACATTCAAATATTTAATCATTCATTTATTCAGTATAAATCTTTCCATCAGAACCTCGATGATCATGTTGATGGTTCTATCGTCACTCTGCCTGTTATACATTTTTTGGCCTCTTGATGGCGCAGTGGAGCAAATGAAGCACCTTGAAGCGTCGGCTCAAGAGTCGAGCAACTGGATGGAACACTTCAGTGCTTCATGGGGCTTCATCTCGACATCACTAGTGGTGATGGAGGCTGACCAGAGGCTTACAGAACAGGTGGCAACGGGGTGAGGCTGGCTCCAAACGGAAGTGCTGGGGATCGGACAAAAAGAAACTGGTAAGTATCAAAAGTCTTCAGAATTCTAAAAAAAAACACACAAAAAGCCTGAGTAGTTCACCACTTGAATGACAGAACGATCTGGCATTTTATGGCAGGAGATGATTGATTGATGAGGATCAGGAGTGGAGCTCAGTAGGTGTTAGGTTTATCTAAACATTGAAAGCAAGAAGAAAGACAAGAGATTAATTCAGTTTTACTCGCGAGGAGAACGGGCAGAGAGTGGGCATCAGACCAACAGTCTCCACACGTTCTGATGACTCAAGGCCGCTCTCCTCTTTTTATTTCATTAGGAGGCCCTAGTTACAGAATGATAATTCTCAAGGGGAAGGGGAAACAGCAAAGACATAATAAGAAACTGATGCAGCTATGCATAGTATAAACACATAAAACATGATTAACAATCAGGAGGTGCCGTTAGGTCAGACACCATCATAACTCTTGCATGTGTGACAGTGGGAGTTGGCTTCATGTGAGGAATCATCTCGAGGTTCACTAGAGCGACAGGACACTGCACACAGTTGTCAAACACACAGAGGTTATTCAACAAGTGACAAGTGATTGGTACATTATAAATCAAAGAATTGTAGTACATAAATGGTTAACTCATAGGCCTAGAATATCACACAAGTATTTAGCAAATATGGGATAATAAAATTATTCTGACAGTAGGTGAGCGATTGGGGATCCGCCCAGGAAACACCAAACAAGGTAAAGAGAGAAGGAGAGAGGGAGGAGCAGGATGAAACCCTCACAACGGGACATTCCCTCTGGAACGTATTTGATGTAGAACAGGAGTCTCCAACCTTTTTCCTCCTGTGAGCTACTTTTTGTAAAACAAAAATGCCAGAGAGCTACTAATTTTAACATTCACTAGAAATTTTGTAAATATAAGAATGTTAAACCAAAGATGAGGTATAGTTAGATGTCTATAAAACATAATCCATTATCCAGTTAGTAGTGCACAAATTAAGGCATAAAAATTATAAATTTACAAAGGAAATGGGCATTTAATCAATCAAATTTGAGTTATTATGTATAATTCAGAAATCTCTAGGCTTAAAAATACCAGAAACATTTCTGACATGGAGTGATGCATTCTGATGTGGACAGCTTTGACTTAACTTTCTATTTTCTAAAAAAAAAGTGTTTTTATTATTTGTAGAACTGACTCACAGTCCACAGTACATTTGCTGTGTTTCAGATGACCTAAAAACATTCTGTCTGTAGGCCAATATTTAATACAGACAGGCCAATGTTTAATACAAATGGAGCAGCTCAGTTGAATCTGGTCCAAGCGCAGACTTTTGCTGTATCATAGTCATTTCTTGGGTTTAGTCAATCAGAGAATTCATCAGGTTCTATATTTGTGCATTAACCTTTCCCTGTAAAAGAGAAAACGGTCTGTTCCCCGTCAGTGAGTATGACCTCATCACACCGTAGACCCCGGAAACCACGAGACCACGTCATGGTTTAAAGTGCTGACATATTAACTGTGAATGTGAAAGTAGCACACTCATTTATCCTGGAAATTGAAATGTGGAGAGCCGTTCAAAAGACTCATACAGCGACGAGAGTTTAACCCTGAGATTTCCGCAAAACCCACTGAGTCAAGACTTCTGTACACACTTTACAGAGTCAGAGCGCAGGTCCGGAACTTTACATGGTTATATTTAAGATTTAGCTTAAAGGTCTCAACTTTCAGAGGTCTTGGTCTTGTCCTGGTTTAGACTCTCAGAGGTCTTGGTTTTACAGTCCCTGACAAAAGTCTTGTCGCTTATCCATTTTGTAGAAACAATAGCTTATAAATTGACTTTAAATTAATCGATTGGTTTTAGAAATGTCTCATATGAAAGCTAAAACCCTCCCAAATTATGCTCAATATACTAAAATAAATTTGCTTCACTGAAGAAAGACTGATCATTTAATGAACACAGAAAGATCAGATTTTGGCAAGACAAAAGTCTTGTGGCCTTGTCATATGATGCACCCAATCCTAGATTACAGCCTCACCTGTGATCAGTTACTGATCAGTCAATTAGTGGGTGTGTATAAAAAGAACCCCAGCACACCAGACCTTCACATCAACTGCAACTTGACCTCTGACAACATGCCTAAGATCCACCCTGAGACCAAAGCGTTAATTATCAAG